GACTGGCAGCCAGGGGTCTTGAGGACCCTGGACAGGTGGTCGTCCAGAATCGTCTGCGGGTCCTCCTCGTAGCTGCCGGAGGGCAGGAGGGAGAGGGGGTGCTGGGTGGGCGCCCCATCCCGCGAGCTCACTGCGAGCTCCGGTCCCTCCTTCTCTTCATCCTGGAAGGGAAGGCAGCGGGAGGGTAAGTGACCAGGAGAGTAAGTGACCAGGAGAGCGGCAGGAACACCCACAAACCCCGGGGTCGCACCCATTGGCCCGCAGCTCGCGCGCACGTACACGCAAAGCCACGTACACGCAAAGGCACGCACACGCATGCGCACACGCGGCGGGCAGAGGGCCAAGCCGCGCTACCTCTCGGATCTGCTGCAAGCGCTCTTCCAGGCTGTGGCGGCTCTCGAGCTCCAGCTTCAGCTTCTCCAGCCTTGAGATCAGCTCGGCCGCAAAGGTGGCAGGTTCCACGGGGGTCATCTCCTTGGGCAGGCGGTGGGTTCTCTACGGGCACGGGGAGGAAAGGGACGAGGCACGTTTAGCAGGCCTGGTGTGCGGCGGCGGCGGCGGCTTGGCCAGAGCTTCCCGGGCCCGGCGCGGGCCGCGTCCCCATGTTTGGGTGGAGAGTGGACGGCGAGGCGGCCTGGGCTGCTCAGGACTTTTATGCGCCGGCACCGTGGCCTCATGGAGAGCCATGGGGCCCACCAGCGTTTGCCTTGGGCAGGAGCAGTTGGTCGCACTCCGAGAGGCCCTGCTTGTTCCCTCTGTAGTACAACCAGCCCATCAGTAGCTACTCTGAAGTAGAAAATCTTCAAAGACTGTTGTCAGACATCAAAAAAAAAAAAAAAAACGGCAGCCCTCTGAGGTGGAGAGGGGAGAGACCAACTCAAGGAATAAAAAGTAGAGTCTAAACAGAAAGGGAGTTGGAAATTTAAAAAAATAAGATTGGAAAGGAGGTGGGAGGGAGGAAAAGGAAAAAAAAGGGAAGTCAAACGGCTCCGGATCAGAGAAGAAGTGGTAATTTATTTCCTGGCCGCACACTGCGCACCTTTGAGGTGGTGTTGTCTCAACACTGTCCTCGATCTCCCTCGTTTTTCTCCTTCCCTCCTCCCTATCTCTTTGTACAGAAAATGAAGAAAGCTGCTGCAGGCTAGTAGCAGAACACTGCTGAGCTTGGCTGCCTGAAGCTGATCTATCAAGGGAAAAGGGAACATCTCCAAATCAAGTGCAGAATATAAAAAAGCACCGAGAATGCCTGCCAAAAGCAGCAAACAGAGAGAACCCCCGCTGCCCATCTTTCTGTCCTTTTCCTGTCATCTCGCTCCCCCCACCCAGCCCCCCACCTCTCCAGTTGTTCTACCTCCTTCTTCCTCATCTCCCTCTTGCTTTGACCCTTTCTTTGGGGTGGGGTGGGGTGGGGTGGGGGGAGCCGAAAGCCAACTTGCAAAGGCCAGCACCTCCCCCAGCTGAAGAGATGGGCCTCGCCAGGGCAACCACTTAGCTGCAGAAATGTGAGGGGAGAGAAAGGCCCCTGTGTAGATAGATGGCCCTTCTCACACAGGCTGGCTCCACGCAGCCCCCGATCAAAGCGCTGCCTGATGGAGAAAGTCGATTTGCACACCCCAGGACAAAATCATCTAATTTACAAGCTTGGGCAATAGAACTTTTGTTTGTTAACACACATATTCCCCTAGTCAAAAAAAACCCCAAAATAATATGTCATCAATACTTGTATTTGTAGGGGGAGGAGATGCCGGAGGTCGCCAGAAAAGCAATTTTACTATGCTAATTTTAAGACAAGGTAAGTCCGCCCTTGTCTGTGTGAAGAGCTTTCAGAAGAGCTTCAATTCATGCACTAATGCAACATAGATTAGCAATTCAATGTGTTAATTTTCTAAACACAACATTACCAGACCAATTGGATTCTCCGAAGCTGGCAGGAAGGATTCATAAACACCAGCTATCAGCTAGGTGCTCTCCTCCCCTCCCTAATCAACAACCTTGCAACCTGGATCTCAGGCTATTGTAAAAAGCACAGCCCTAAAATGGGAATGTAGACAGGGAAGCTCTCTTGCATACAGGGGCCATGTGCTGGCTGCTTTAGGGAACATGGAAATAAAAAGGGAGGTGTAAGAAAAGCCCTTCACCCACCAACTCAAAATCACAGGAAGAAGCTGCTCCTGGGATCCTCACTTCTAAACACTTCATTCATTCAACATTTGTGAGGCACAGACTCAACAGCAGGTACTAAGCCAAGTTTCTGGGCTTGGAAACAGACAAGACAAACAGCTGCCCTCTAGGGGCTTCAGAAGTCAAGAAGAGAAATGGCCAAGTAAATAGATAAATGGATGACTCAAATGACCCAGCCATGCAGTCAACCAACACAAGATGTAAAATGCCTCAGGGATGTGATTTTTTTTCCAAAGGGGGCGGAGATTCCTCTAACCTCATTCAGTCATTCAAATGTTTATTGAGCACTTATGTGTCAGGCACTGTTCTAGTCTCTGCGGATATAGAATTTAACAGAACAGACAAAACTCCCTCCCCTCAGGTGGCTTCCATTCTAGTGGGAATGCAATGAGCCCATCATGCTAGAGAGAAGCATGGATCATCTCTTAGCATTTCTTGGTTTCTGGGAAGGAACTGCTTTGGTTTCTTTCTCAGAGAACTTTCTTTTTTGAATTCAGAAAATGTAAAGGTTCAAAAATTGGTCATCTTGGACCTCATAATCACATCACTTTGCTCAACATCACAACTCATGTAATGGCTCTCGTCCAGTTCTTCCTTTCTCTGCCTTTCCGGGAGGGGACCTTAGGTACTGCTCCTTTCTACCTTCCCTATACTCCCCCCACCCCCACACTACCTCCTATCCCTTTTTAAAGGACTCAACAGGGCAGGAAATGGGCACCTCCCGCATCCAGACTGTACTCACCGGGAAATGAGGTAGAGACACTTGGCCATTGGCCTTCACGCTGCGATGCATTTCTCTCTGGAGCTGTTTCTTACTCCCCACACGATAAGGAGGGATTCCATCTCTAAGGGAAAGAAAAAGGCAGAATCCACAGGCTTACGAGGATGCTTTCAGCACCTGGGTTGACTCGCACGCCATCCTGAGATCCCACCAACAGACAGGGCCACTCGCTTCCATGGGAGTGTGTCACACATCTCCAGATGCCATCACTGTTCCCATAGGGAAGGATCCATCCAAGGTGAAATTGCCAAAAAAGCTGTAAATCCTGCCCATCAGTCATCTCTGGAAACCTGGCTCCCTCTTGGAAGCAGGAGCATCAATCTGGAAAGAGCTTGGTAACTCTCATCTTAGAGCCAAGTTATGCTCCAGCCAGCCCAGATACTGTGAAGGCTCCCCTACTTTACAGGTGCCCCAGGCCCTTTGCGCCTCCCAGCAGTCTGTTACCACTGTAGCATACTACCCCAGAGCAGGAAACCAGTGCCTTATGGGGAATACCAGGGAAAAGTTGTAGGGATAGGGACCAAACCCACAGAGGGCTAAATCAGGCATTAGTGAGGTATGCATTATTCTCCAATAGTCAACCTCCTAGTCATTTCCAAATTTATTCTTTTTATAAACCACCACAAGGTGATTTACAGGAATAATATACAGTAAATCTTTTGGCTCCTTCCTTCCCTCAGCTCCAAACCCCACTACCCCCAACGAACAAATTCTCAAAGACACATGACCAACGTGGGCATAAAGAGAAAAGACCCTACTATGTGGTGTTGTGTGCAATTCATTTAAACACTTGAGTACCTACTATGTGCCAGACCGTGTTCTAGATAGAGGGGATAAAAAATTCAAACACTGCGTTCATGAAATTTATACTCTAATGGGGTGGCATAGGCAAGGAGCAAAATATATAATATGTTGGAAGATTATAAGTACTTTGATGAAATACACAGCAGAAAAGGGGGAAAGAGAATCACTGGGGATAGGGAAGTTACAATTTTAAACTGGGGGTCGATGAAGTCCTCATTGAAAGGTGACCTTAAAGCAAAGACCTGAAGGAAGTATGGGCCCCTGTGTCCCTCATTATATTTTAAAAAACAAAACATTAGCAAGTGGAAGAAGTTTTAAAAAGCCTCCACTCCAACTAGTGTCCACTAAACACTGATTGGGAGTTGCCATGATTTTTTTCAAAAAGAATTTCCTCCTAAAAGCAGTAGAATGGTCAAGGTGTGACTATTTTCCCATTCAAGTCCCTTCAGGAGGCCACTTATTTACGGAAGCCTCAGGATTCAAACACTTCCATGATGAATCATACTTTGAGGCTGTAAATATTGAAATTAGGTGTTTGGCTATTTCCCTTTCCCTAGTGTTTGGTTCATCACAGGGTGGAAGGAAGAAAAACAGCTTAGGCTAGTCAGCAGGAGGTGAAAACAGGCAATGCCTAAAAATACCAGGGAGCAGCCAGGATTGACTGGTCGACCTAGTCACCAGCTCCTTATCTGTGATGCCCTAGAATTCCAAGTGGCTGCAATTTCAGGAAGGCTGCTGACCAAGGCCAGAAAACAACGCCACCAGGGGGACAACAAAGATTCCAGTAGATCAAGGAGCCAATTTGTGTTAACCAAACCTTAGCTAAGGAGTAGATAAAGGATAATCACGTTGAGAGGAGTGGGGAGGGGAAGGAAGATATCAGTATCTAAAGCAAGAGCTTACACACAAGTGTGAGTCTTTTCCCAGAGAAAGTCGAGCGTGTGGCAGAGACAGCACTGTGGGAAGGTTAGCAGCTGGCTGGCCAGTGCCCATTAAGAATCATGTCCCCCAGTCAACCCGCTACTCATGAGGCCCAGCACTTGGCCAACCCATTACAGGCAGAGTAGGATGAAAGGTTCTAAGTTGTGCAACTTACTGAACCACCTAAAGATGATTTATCCAAACTTAGTGTTTTCACCTTGGGATAGTTTACTAGGCACAGGAGAAAACCAGACTCTTAAAAGCATGCCAGGCTTGACCAGCAACCAAATCCCCCCCGAGGCGACTGACTGTGACTGGAGGTGGCCGGCTCCTGTGCGCCAAGTTCCCGCTGCGGGTCAGATGCTGGCTCACACGTCTGTCGTGATTGGACTTCATTCTCACAAGAATCTTAACAAACCACATTTTACAGATGACCAGAAATGTTCAATAACTCGCCTGGAGTTACAGTCAGTACCAGTCAGATCCAGGGTCCAAACCCAAGCCACCGCTGGACTCCAGAACCAGATGTCCTTAACTCCACAGCCTACACTTGAGGTCCTCATTTCAAGATGGCCTTCCCAGCCCCTGCCCGAGGAATCAAGCTTCCTGATGGGCTCAACTTGGAGGTGCCATTTCCTAAGCTCCAAGGAGTCACCTGACATTCTGAAGAGATGAATGGGAAATCCGTAGAATGTTCTGGAAAGTCCTTCCCCACCACTTAGTACTCGTGGCTATGGGACATGCATGATGAATATCCCTGTCTCTCACCTAAAATCTCTGTGGGGTGGGGGGTTCCACAGATTGGGTCTCATGCTGGTGTAACTAAATTCTGTTGCTCTGGGAAGGCAAGACAATGTTCACGCCCCTCTCCTGACCAGCTTCTCTTCCTTGGCCTTAAGAGAGTGGATGGCTCTGTGCTAGGCTTCTCCTGATAATCTTGGGGGACAGGAGTCAAGCATCCCATGGACCCCACCATGACCCAAGTGACATAAGGCTCCAAGAGTCTTGGAAGAGTTCCCCATCCATCCCTTCCAAGACTCCGTCTGAAGTTTCCACTAGTAGCTTTTTTCTCCTTTCTTTCCTCTCAGATGGAAATCAGTGGTAAAGCTTTTATACCTCTTTTTCTTTCTCCATATAAGGTAGAAAAAAGAAAAGGGGAGAATTGGGGGGAGCAGGTCACTGCCGAATTGAAGGCAAGAGGAAGAAATGGTTTCAAGAGCACCTGCCCCACCAACACACACCCAGTACACCCAGGGCAGGTGGAAGATCGAACTGCAGGAAAGGCAACTCGTGACCAGAGTAGAAAAGGGAGATTTCAGCTTGTAGAGGCTCAGAAAGGCTTAACAGGCGCCTTCAAGGAAATGTGGCTTTAATTCCCCCCAGTCAAGAATCTTCTTCCAAAACAGGCCCTCATTCCAAAAGGGGGCCTCTTTTTTTTTTATTCAAGCTCTAAAAGTCTATGATCAGTTTCCTGGCTGCTCAAGCCTGTGGGCTGGAGAGCACCAGAGTTTTGGTGCCTATACAGTCTCCTTTAATTATAAACATTTTAGCTAACGAGCCGCTGCTGGGCCCAGCTGTTTCTGGGGAGCGTGGGTTTTGAAGTGTGGACTCCACTTAGCTGCCATTTGAGCCGAGCCAATTAGCTTAGCCTTTTGACTCCACCGTGCCCGACCTAACCTGAATGTCGTTTTCTGGCAGCTTTGAAATAGCAGACTCATGTGCACATGCGTCCACTTGCATCTTCATTTGGCAACCACTCTGAAGGCAGCCTCTGATCACAGCCAACATCAAAAGCCTGGTTTGTAAGAGAAGGTAATATTTGAAGTTCACTCGGATGCACTTACTGGTGTCCAAAGTAAACCCCCATAAATAAGATATAAAGAAATAAAAATAAATAAAATAACTCAGGACACCCCCTGCATGGAATGCAAGGAAATCATCCTGTGCTGATGTGGGGACAGTCGGAGCAGAAGCAACTTGCAAATGTAGCTGATCCTGATTAGGAGAGCAGCTCCTCTAAAAAAGAAAGGACAGAGTAAGCACCAGGTTGTGCTTGGGTGGCAAAGGCCTGCTGCTTCTGATGTCGTCAGCCCCTTTGCTCTAACCCCCTAAGCCTGATGCCCTGACGGCCCTGCAATCCTCCTGCCTTCAGTGCTCCAAGGATTGGGCTTTAGGATTTTGCTGAGAATCTGGCAGTTAACATTCCAAAAAAAATTTTTTTTAAGCCATTTCTTCCGAGAATGCAGGTTTCAGAGTAACAGGCTCATAAAACAGCCTTTTCAGAGGCCTGTGATGGAGACCCAAATCCCCAGCCATCTTTAACAGGGCTTTTTACTTAGCAGGAAAACAGAAGTCAGCACTGGGCTTTGGGAGAAGGCAATGATTTCTTTAAAGCCTCTGCCTGTTCTGCACATCCAGGCCCCGGCGTGCAGCTCTCTGGAATAACCAAGTGCAGGCCAGCCTTGTCCCAACCTCTACCCAGGCCTCTTGCAAAGGCCCCCGGGACTTAATTGGTTCTGTCGCAAATGAGACGATTGCTTCCCTGGGCTTGTGTCTAATGAACTCCAACCTTCTGGAGTCTATTGAAGGCTGCCTGTGACCCCCTCTATCCTCCTCAACCCCTCCCTAGTCCTGTCCCCTCCCCAACTCCCAGCGGGGCAGCCAGGCCCTCCCCAGCCCCTCTCAGCCCGCGCTGGCCATTGTGAGGAGGAGAAACAGCCAGGGCTCTTTTCATGCTTTATGGGGCGCTCCTATTCATTTGTTCAAGGAAATTTCAAAGGGGCCTGCTACCCTCTTATCCCCTCTAAGCTTCCCCAGATGAACAATGGGCTGAAAGCGATTCAGTTCAGCTTTTCATCCCCCACACACTTTATTTCTCGCCCAGCGCTCTCATCTGCACAGGCCCACAATTGGCAGAGCTCTGAAGAGGGGTCTAATCCCAGCCCTGGGAATCCCGGGTGACCGCCCAGGGACACTGGGCAGATCACACACACCCAGGGCCAGCCAGCCAGAGAACACTCCAAGTAGCCAAGTCTGTTCTGCAGCAGAGACCCCCATGCCTGGCACCCAATGCCAGTTTGAGACCCACGGGAGCCTCTAAATGCAAACAAGCCCCCATCCGATAGGCTTTTGGTTCTGGAGACCCTTTTGTCCCCCACCAGAGGCAGTATGACACAACTCTCAAGAGATGGCGATCTCACACTGATGCCAGATACACTCCCAGGTGGTATAAACGCCCAGGTGGGTGCAACTGTGACAGTCAATCTGATACCTGCCCACTTGTTTGGGAGAGGGCTCAGAGCCACCCAACACCACGAACCCATGGGTCTCCGGGCCTCACAGGGACTCTCTCTTGGCCTCCTGGTTTACTCGTTTTCAATCCAAGGCAGCTACACCCCAGGATGGGCTTATCACGCCCAGAGGTCCTGCCACCAGCGACCCAAAGGAATCTCCTGTGTCCCATTTGGAAGTTGCTGAGCGAGGGGCTCGCCCGTTTCTATCTCCATCAAAGTGGACTTCACTGGCCTACGCGCTACCCCTCGCAACCAAGAACAGGTGACTGGCAAAGGTAACCTTTTCCATCCCTGAAAGTGGCTTTCCCATGCCTCGAGTCCAAAGTGCTTCAGCTAAAGGGAGAGGGGTGAGAGCTTTAAAGTCAACTCTAAATAAAATGGAGCACATTTTGCTTCTGGGAAGGGGATAAAAGAGGAGGAGTAAATAAAGCAGAGGCTGCAGGGGAGGACCTAGAACTTACTCTCTTCTACCCCACCCCTGCCCCGGTTAAGAAAAGGCAGTGTGATCACTAACAAAAATAAAGGAAACCCAAAGTGGCTCAAAGGTCTCTAACCAACTGGTCCTATTAACGTATCTCACGTTGAAAATGGTCATGCTTGGGGGAGGAGCCCAGCGGGCAAAGGGTGGGGCCTATGTCTGGCCTAGATCTGAGGCCTGTCTCAGCCATGAACGGCTAAGGAAGCACTGGGTCTTACTGCCTAAGTCACAAGTACCTGCCTCCCTTTCCGATTGGGTCTTGTGAGGATCAAACAGAAGCAAGTGTGGGACTACACCCAAGTTATCTCATCATGAACCCAGAATAACACCTCAGTGATGGGGACTGAAATGCAGCCAAGGACCAGGAAGCAAGCCAAAAATAGTCTCTAAGAAAACTAAACAGAAGCCTTATAGTCTTAAGTCAACTACATTGACTTAGGAGATTCACTCAATGGCTTCATTCAATTCCAACTTACTCTCATTTTACACGTAACACTAAGACTCCCATGCCATCCACGAGTTAATAAATGCTGTAGGAATAATGCTTGCTAGAAGCAAGCACACAGACAAGAAATCATGACAGCAGGCAGAATGACAAAGAGAAAAGCTATTTTAAAGGGGAAAAGGGCCAGTATGTATAGGGACACATAAACCCATACAACCTCATAGCCTTTGAGATAAATGCTACAACAAAGGACGAAAAACCAGAGCTTGGTATTATTCAGATAATCAAGGGGTAAATTTTGCCTTGTCTAATATTACTCAGTAAGATGGGGCAAAACATATTGTAAGAAATATGCCAATCAAAGGATAATTTTTTTCAAGTACGGATACTTTAAGAGTTCAGTCAATATGGGAAACCCACCCCTGAAACCTTTCATTTCTCCATATTGGATGAAAGATGTGTACCTTACTCTATTTTCACTAATGCCAAAATGCTATTCTTTTATTAAAATGGGGCCTTTCACCTTAAGGATCTCTCTCCCTTTACTAACAAGAGAATTTGAGGTAACACAATAAAAGCCACCAGGAAAACAAAGAGTCCTAAACTCACTTCATCGACTTTCCCTCCAACTGGTCCCATGCCACAGGCCAAGCAACAGGACATTGGCCAATGGAAACCAGATAGTTTCCAACAAACTGGAGGAACAGATGGTCCAGTTTTAGGAAGCTAAAGGGAACAAACTCTAAAGTATGTCAGAACTTACATAGCTCAATGGGTTTGCTTTTCAAGATTATTCCCTTAGCAGGTGAAATTCCAACTCCAAAACATTTGCTGAAACCTTTAAAGACCATTTCTGGAACTGTGATTTTCAACTGGGTGCTGGGGGAGGAAAGCCTTTGGGGAATTTCACCCATGCCCAGGCTCCACCCTGGGGCTCCTGAATCAAAACCTCAAAGGGCGGCAGGAGACGGGACACCCTCCCCACCAGACTCATGGAGAACACTGCTCTCCCTCCATAGAGGTTGCCACAGCTTGACTCCCAATGGCCTGAACTCAAAGCATGATCTGGCCTGACGACCTGCCGACCTCATCAGACCACCCCAATGACTTGGATCACTTTAAAAAATCAAAGCCATCCATCTGCAGAAGATCCAAGATCAGGCACTACTTGGGAAAGAGCTCCCACTCAGGGTCCCTAGCACCTGACAGACAGAGTAGGCACTCCACCAACACTTACTGAATGAAACAATGTCCTTGTAGACATCGAGGTGGGAACGTGACACACAGTGGCCCTTTAGAGATTTCTGGCTTTCTGACCTCCACCTTGAGTGCCTTTTCCTCCAAGAACAATGAATCCCTAAACACAACCCTTCTATTGCTGCCCTGCCTCCCACCTGTTGGTTCTGCAGACAGGACACCTGGGTTTCAAGACCAGCCAAGCAATTAATTGTTCCCACAGGGACAACCAGAAGATGACGACCGAAGAAAAGATTTTTTTTTTTAACTCGAGAAATCTATAGATACTCATCTTCACCTTCCACTGTACTTCAGTTTTCTTCTGTTAAGGTATCATTCCCAACTTTCCTTTCAAAGCTCTAAACTTAACCTTACCCAGACTAGCATGTCACCCTCCTTAACCAGCACCATACCACTCACACTCCCCTCCCACCAAATAAATGTCTACACTCGCACCGGTGGGATTTGCAAAGCCAGGGGAGGCTGGCTGACGACTCTGCCCAGTTGCCTTGGTGGTTCACGCTCCCACCCACGTACACAGAGGGGCTGCTAGAATACTTACACGCTACTATCCGTCATGGACATGGAATCGTCAGTCAGTGCATCACTGGATATCTCACTGTCGTTGGCGCTGGTGGCTGGTGCAAACACGTAGCCAGCGCCTACATGATATGGATTAACAGGATCGCTCCTCTTGAAAGACCTATGGGAAAAGTATAATAGCAGTTCAGTCACTGATCCTCACCAGAAACCCAGCTAAATAAGGTGACCCTAGGACAACTGAGTACACAATCCCACAATGTGTTCGATGCCAACCTGCTGCCCAGGTCCAGCTGCTCACCAGGGCAGAAAACAGGGGCCACAGAGGGAGGCCTCCTGAGCCCCCAACTCGCCCTGAGGAGAAAGCAGGCTGGGTTCCTTTGACGCCACAAGTAGGTCTCCCAGGACACAGAGTATTCCAGAGGCAGCCCAGGGATCCTATAAAATTCTAAATGCACACTTAGAGAGGAAGGAACGGGACTCTGCTCTAGGAGGGGAGGGAGGCTATGGAAGAAAACAGGGGGACAAGTCAGTGAAGAGGTGTCTTTCTCCTCTCCACCCCATATCCAAGCCTACACCAGAGGAATACAGTTTTGGGGCCCCAAGACATCTGTTAGCTTAATCCAGAGATGTAAACAATTAGAGGCCTGGTGTGGCCTTCTCACTTTGACCCTGGACGCACAGCAAGCGGGACAGATGGGACAGAAAAGTTCAAGACAGAGTATAGGACTCCCACCCCACCCCTGAGCTGGGCCTCTGCCCTGCCCCAGCCCACCCCGGCTTCCCCGGCCCCAGGGCTGGCTAGGGCCAGTGGGATGAAAAGAGCAGCACAGCTGTTTCAAAGGAAGGCCCAGGCCCCTCCTCCGGTGTCTCCAGCCCTTTTGTTCCAATGGCCTCTGGCTCCCCATTTTGCCCCCTTGATCTCTTCCCAGAACAACCAGTGTGCCCATCTCCTGCTGGGCCGCATTCCTCGTGTGTCACCAGTGAGGGACTTAAGCAGGGGGAGGGGCAGATAGGTTGGCAGACTGCAGGAAGGGACCCTCCTGCAGCCCATTAAAGCCCAAAGTCGCAGGAGGCCTCGTTTACAAAGACCCTGGCATCCTCCACTGGTCCCACCAAGTCTAAGCCAGCAGCAAAGAACTCAACTGGAGGAGAAAAGAAAGGCTCAGAAAAGAGAACGTATTCTACGAGGCGACAGCAGCTGGTCTATAAAGATAGCCTTGGGGTTGGCAAATGAAAGGGACCCATGAAAGGTCACAATCAGTCATCTGCACTGTTCCCCAAGCTCCTGCTCGCTCGCTATGTGCTGAACTCTGGGTGTATGCAGCCCTCCTCTCTGGTCTCCTGGGACCCATGGCCTGGTGAGGGCACATCACCATAATGTGGGGGTGTCATTAGGGAGGTACACACAGTGCTCCTTTGTACACATCAACTCATTGAATGCTCATAGCCACCTGGGGAGGAGCACAGCACGGTGGCCACTCTACAGATGAGGCCCTTGGCCGTCCGAGAAGTACAGCAGCCTGCCCTGGATCACATAGCTGGGACTGGCGGGCACAGACTGACTCGTCTGGCTCTCACACAACCCCTCTTTCTGCCTCTTAATACAAAGTCTACCCTCAACATTTTAAAAAGTTCTTCTAGAATAAGAGGCAGGACATGATGGAAAGGATGTTTCTAGCAGGGATGACTAGAGACAGCTCCGCAAGACAGATGGGAGCAAGGCGCACCATGATGGATGAGCAGGGCTTCGAAGAGATGACACCCAGGACCGGGGAAAGGGAAAGGCAGTGAAAAGCCCTCCCCGGACTGGGAGATGGGGTCTAGCCAGCTGGGCTAAGAAGGCCTGGCAAAGACAAGGAAGTAAGCAGGTCTGTAGTGCAAGGCCAGAGTTCTGTCTTAACCAGACGGGGAGGGCCCAGGAGGCCGGGGGACAGCCGGGGAATGGGGGTGTGGGGGAGGGAGAATGTTCCCAGCAGCACATGGAATCCAAGGTGTGCCACCAGGTTGGACTGGAAGGAGGAGGTGCGGGCAGGGAGCCCAGTGAGAAGCTGTTGCCACAATTTGGTGTGAGGGTCTCCACAGGGGAAGGTGGGGATAGAAAAGAAGGTGGGAGAGACAGTCCCTGTCTTTAAGGAGCTTGTGCTCTTAGTTAGAGTCACGAAACAAACACGAAAAGTTCCAATCAAAGTTTTTGAGCCAGAATGAACCCTTTTAATCCTCACAACCGCCCAAGGAGGCAAACGGAGCCCAAGCAGGCCAAGTGCCTTGCCAGAGGCCACCCCGCTAGAGATTCGGCCAGAGGAGTTGGTCCTCAGCTGGGACCTCGATTCGGTTCCACTGCGCTAGGCTGTACCATAAAGCCAGAGCTTAGAAATGTGACGTAGGTGTAGAACTGACGGGAAGGTGCAAACCAGGAGTGCTGCACAGGAACCCACTGAACACTTTTGACCAAGTGACTCTGAACTGTCACTTGGACACCCTGGCCCTGTTCTCTTATCTGCAGAGAAGGTCGAAAGAGAATGGCAAGATCTCTCATGCCTTGTTCCTGGTCCTCGTGTCCTTAATCTGGAATTCCCAGACACCAAAGAGAGAGAGGAGCAGCGTGATGAAGGAAAACCAGTTCGCTTTTCCGGGGACGAGCAAGCTGAGGGATGATTCTGTTGATGAGGCAACTCAGAAGGAGCAGGATGGTCTGTTCAGCATCGACCGCCACAGGCAGAACGAGAGAAGACGGGCTTCGAAAATCAGAAAAAAGAAAGCAGTTCTACGTGGTCAGAGGGGATCCCCGGAGTGGATGGGGACAGGGTATGTCTTTAAAATAGCCCGAAGCTGTGGGGGGCTTGGGCGGGGCGACCGCTTCAGAGCAAGATGCACAGGGTAACTTCTTCAGGGCCCGGTCCTGTCACCAGTGGTAAGGACACTCTGTAAACTCCTGGTAGAGCCTGAAGTTGGAGGCTGAGAGCTGCTGCTGGCTTAGCTGCCGGCCGGTGGGGCCGAGTCCCAGCCTCCCTGGACGTGCGTCCACCTGAAAAATGGGCAGTTCAAACATGGCCATCTGCACCCAGTTCTTATGTCCTCTAAAGGATACAGAGGTGTGATAATTTGGGGAAATCACAGGAATACTCCAACCAACCAACCGCCAACAAAAACAGAGAGCTCCTGTTTTCTCGAATACCCAGCTCATTTCTTTCACGTTTCATCATGACTTGCAACTGCAGAGCACGGTGTGTTTGCGTGTTGGAAGCCTGTCCTGTGCAAGCGGACCGTAAGCCCTGTGGGACCAGCCCTGTCCTCTTCACACGTGCAGCCCGACGCCGAAAGTAGTTGGTGGCACGTGGCAGAAGCTCAAAACTTTGCTGAAACTCCTTAAAAGGCCTAGGTCCATCAAATAGGTTGCTGAAAAGTTCTTTAGTTTAAGAGGCTTAGTACAAGATCAGAAAACCCAAAACAGCCTTAAACAGGATTCAGACACTCTTTCCATCCCTCCAGTCTTGTTATCTTGGTGGCATTAACACATCAAGCATGTCTCCAATGTAAGAGTTATACTTCAACCTCCACGAGGAGAAAATGACTCAGTAGAAATTCCTTCCTCCCTAGCAAAAAAGACACACAACTCAAAGCCCATGTGTGCTCACACAGCTTTGTACTCGTTGTTCAACACACAGATCCCAAAATAAACTTGTCTCCCTTCACTTCCAAAATAGAGGACTACTGTGTGACCAGTAATTAAAAATGGAATGTACTGCTCTTAACTCAGTTGACTGCCATAAAGTACTTGGATTTTCCTACAATCATAACAAGACAGGGCAGGGTTGTGGGGAAAGACAGAAACTCAATTTTTAAGAACCCAGAACTTTGTCAAAAGCACCACATAATTTTAAGAAAATGGATTAGAGCTGTTTTCTTGTGATTACTTTAAAAAAAAAAAAAAAAGGAAAGAAACTCGACCATGCTACAGTAATTGTACCCAGATGCTTTGATTATTTCTTCAGGACTGTTGTGCTCCCAGTTGCTGCAAGGATTTTAAATTCCTACAGGGAGCAGAGGCCTCTGGTACAGATCTTGCACCGGGCGTGCATCCACAGACCTAGCCTGCAACTTCAATGTACAAAGGGTTTTCAGCTGTCAGGTAGCAGAGGCTCCTGGGACCTGAGGGAAAGGTGATGTCTGCTGCTTTTTCCCCCCAGCCCATCCTTAGCTCTTATCTTGATGAGATGTGGTGGCCTGGCCCCTCCCAGATGCCAGAGGGGAGGCTCCACACAGACAGCACAGCAGAGAAGTGACCTCCAGAGGCCTTCGTCTGGGTCCCATCTCAAAACAGTACAACTTAAAAAGTACTGGCTTCTAAGGCTCTGTGTTTAGGGCTTTCTTTCTAAGAGCCCTCTGGCAATGTACTCACAAAGTCACTGTCCAAAAGGCAACACCCTCTTTAACTGGCATTTTCTAAGGCAAGATCAAGGGGCACTCTCAGGGCCGGGGACTCAAACAGCGACTGAGCCTTTGGAAAACAGGCAAACTTACAAGTGCATCTTAGCACACTGCCTTCATCAGAGCTTCCACCTCTAATTGCAGACTGCTGCTTCCAGCATATCTTTCCTGTGGCATCATTTTCTTTGATAATTGAAGCCAAGCTTGATTCCAATGGCTTCGCACAAAAACGGGCCTCATCAGCGAGTTCTTTCAGAGAACAGGAAGCACTTGGAGCCAGCAGAGGGCCATCTGCTGGGCCCGACTGATTTCAAGTGCAGCCAGAGCAGAGGGTGCAGAGGCAGGCGGATGAGACCTGCCTTGGGCAGGAACACACAGGGGCCAGAGCAGAAAGGGGAGGGCACAGGGAGCCCTCTGTGCACCCGGGGCTGTATTCTCCTTCCCAGAATAAATGCTGGGCTGAGCGCCTAATCCCACCACCCCCTCTGCACACACCTCGACACTGTGCATGTGTTTGTGCGCTGGGGCTTTTACACGTGCTCCTACCAACAGGTTGCTTTTGCTCTAGGCTATTTATAGAGACCATGGAAAGCCCAGGCATCCCCCTCAAACCAGAGTCCCGCCCTCCGAGGATAATTCCTGCTCTTCCGTCCCAACTATTTATATTAAACCTGACACCAAATCAGTAAGGACACAAACAAGTCATTAAAAATGAGGTTCCTTTGAGTGCCCAAGGTAAACACAGGGCTTGGAAGGCTGGCCAATGCCCCGGGCATCCGGCTGCCGAGGCTCCTCTACAGCTGATGAAGAAAGACCCTCAGCAGGACTCAGACTTTCTGTTTCATTCATTGTACGAACTCAACTTTTGAAGCCCATCCCGAATGCCGGGTACTCTGCAGTGAGTGAGTGTATGGGGCAGGGAAGGCGCGGACTTAAACCTAAGAGATGAGATCCCTACGTTCCAAGAACAAGCTGGAAAAGACAGACTTAAGTTCAACAAGTAGAAAAAGAGAAGCATGGGAAGGGGATACGCTAAAACCTTACAAGGAAAAATGGGATAAATCCCTGAGTCACTCTTTGAAAGTGGTATCCCAACCTGGTTGCCCTTTTTATATTATCTTTATTAATTATACTAATTATAACACTTTACATCTGTTCAAAATGTTTCCCTTTTCAAATGGCTTTCATGTCTACTATTTTGATCCTAATAACAACCCTATGACATGGGCAGAAGACATGGTGTCCACCCATTTTACAGATGACAACGTAGGGTTCAGAAAGGCTTCAATGCAGGTAGTAAGTGGCGGCCTGGGCTGGACCCCAGGCCTTTGAATAACTCAGGACACTTCCCAATATACTATACCTACACTGGGACATCTTGCATGTTAAAGTGAAATCAGATCATCTGGATAGGTCTTAAACTCTGACAATGCCCAGTTAAGACATATGAGCTTCATGTAGTCTGGGTCAAATGCTTTATTTTCAGCTCAACAGCGGGAGAAAGCCCCCATGAATCCAGTATGGAAACTCTCAAGAGGTCAGTGAAAAGCTGTCATCTTGTTACCCATGACGCCACAGTTCACAAGCAAGAAGGCAGCACTGGGAAACAGGATCTCTTGCCCCAGCCTCCAGCATCTATCACAAAAGCTTCACCAGAGTAATCTCCCACAATTTATCCTGGTAACATCCCAGATGCGGCCCCTGGAAGGGGGAGGCGGCAAGCAAGGCTGGGCCTCTGCTGCCCACCCACAAGGGGCGGAGCCAGAGTCGCGCCTGGGGAGGGCGTCCAAACCACACACTGTGCTATTTACAAAGGTGACACTCTGGGTCCTGACGCTGGTCGACACAGAAGCCCCACTGTCCGAGGGCCCCTGGAGAAGCAGCCTTACCACAGGCCTTAAGTGGTCTGAGCTACGGCTGCCAAGCTGGAGGGCAAGGAGGCCACCACCAGAGGTTTACCCAAATGTTCTCATACCGGAGCAGGCAGTACCAGCAGGTGCCCAGTGACTGACCTGCTGCAGAGGCCAGACCCAGACTCTTCCACCCAAACAGCCTGAATCATAAGCACAAAGACACTGAAACAACTCCCTCATGTGATCCTATGCTTCCTTGCAAACACCAACCCGGTCCCACTTAGGCGCAGACCAGATGTTAGAGTGTGGGCAAATTGTTCCCAGAGCTGTGGGAGCGCCCCCTGGTGGCTGGAGAACAAGCCCTTCCCCTCCTCCTTGGCCAACCCCTAAATCACGGCCTGCTCCACTCAGACCTGGCTACCCCAAGAGACTCAAGACCAACTACCTGGTGCCTACCCTGCCTCCTGCTGCTGGAGGCTGGTGGCCACACCCTATGGAGAGAGGGAAATCTCCAGAGGCAGCTGGCAGATTGTATCCTGAGTCCCTAGCGCACAGGGAAATCCACATGGATGGCAAGAGAAGCCATTCGGATTCCAATCAGTGCTGCCTCATCCCCTCCCCTGCATGTCATAAGCAACAGCCTAGAATTAAGAAGGTCATTCTCTTCTGGGATATTCGGAAGTGGGGAGAAGGGGAGAAAAGAAACACCCGTTCTAACAATATGTCTGAAGTTGCCTCCAAAGGTCAAGAATCTGTAAAGAACTATTTGTCTTTGAAGCCTCAAAGAGAAAGTACTCCAGGGCCCCAGCCCTCTCATGCCAAGATCTCTTCTCCATCAGCACTAACAAAATAATCCACTGAGGTCTGACCCTTGGACATGCAAGCATTAAAACCTGGATTAATATAACAGCAGACTCTAAAGCTAAGAAGGGTCCTTCATTCGGGAAGGTCACAGGACCTTCCCTAGTTAGAAGCCTTTCTTGCTGGGTAAATATCTGATTCTATAAGGGGAACCACGAGCTCAACTGTCAAGCCTTGCTGGCTCTTATCTTAACAGAAAAGTTCAAAAGATCCCACTTACCCCTCAATGGGTGCGCACGTTACTTCCTGCGCCTCCACCACCACCCAGCCGCCTCCCTAACTCGCTACTGATTAGTGCTGGAGTGACCCCTTCCAAAACCGGTGCTTAGTGGATCTGGTGACTCAGAGGCATCAAAAGCTGCTGTTCTCTCTCTCTCTCTCTCTCTCACTCACTCTTTCTCATACACACACACACACACACACACACACTCAACCCCTTCTTAGACTCTAGCCCAGGATAATAAGTAACCCACATTAATGAATACTGCCTGCCACTGTTTGAAGTCAGCACTGGAAGACTGCAGGTATGTAGCTGTGTATGCATTGCTTTTCCCCCCTTTAAACAACAAAAAGCAAGATCAAAGAAAGCGTTCACGGCCCGCCCGGGTCCTAGCTCTCGGCAGACCTTGGTCAGCCTGCACAGAACATCCATCCATCCATCCATCCATCCATCCTCCGTACTTAACTCAAAACGTTGGCAAAGTCCACATCATCCGCCAAGCCTGACCCCACCATCCCCAGCCAAAGTCTTACCTGTATCCACTTTCGACAGTTTCCGTGGACCTCACGCTGGCTGTAGCCCTCAGAGTTTTGCTGGACAAGCCAACCACAGTGGGCGAAAGTTTGCACTTGAAGTCGGCACAAGTCCACTCCTCTTCTTCATTCAAGGTGGGGAGATAGCCACACACGACCTTTAGGCTCCCCAGTGCCCCATTACTCATGTAAGCTGTGTTTTCTCCCCCACTCCTCACATATTCGAGGTATATATCAGAAGTCAAAAACATCTGGTAGGCATTTTCCTCCATCACCGACTGGATCTCAGTCTGTGCCTGGTCAAACATGATGGAATCAATCTGCTGCTTCTTGATGCCATCTCTTATGTAGGTCTTGGTGGCAGGTTTCAGCTGCTTGGAGACAATGCTGTTGTTCTCAATGTACCTTTTGTAGATCGCTTTGGCTACTCGTAAAGTTTTGGTATCCTTCAGGTTCATTTGCCTGAATCCATTGCAGGCAAACCAGAAGTCTAAGGTATCCACGCATTTCTCCCTCTCCAGGAAAGTCCGGAAGAGGTAAGCACCATCTTGATCGCCCAACAAGGAGTGCAAGGACTTGGTCCACCTGGTCAGAGGGGAATCTGGGGACGCCCGCCCCTCTGGCTCCCCCAGCCCATCTTCATTCCGCCTGGTGTTGGAGGAGACAGGCATGGGTTTGGTGACCTGGCCCTTGCCCACTCCCAGCTGGCACGGTGGGGTCTCCCCTTCTTCGCCTGGAACTGGGGGCCGAGGGGCATCCTCGCGGAAACTGCTGCTGGGGTCCGGGAGGCGAGTCACCAACACAGCACTACTCATGGTGAGGGAGCTCTTCTCACCGAGTTTGGGAATTCTTTTTTTTCTTCTTCCAGTTCCTCTCAGCAATCAGCGTGGTCTCTCTGTCTCTCTCAAGTCAGCAGGGGCTCATCTGAGCCTCCTCTCTGGAAAGAAAAGGAAGGGGGGGAGGTGGGGACAGAGAAAAGGGTATTGATCTAATCAAAACCAGATCTACCCAACATCAAAGCAAGAAAGTAAACAGGCTTTTCAACTCCTCAAATTCAAATCAAGCAACCCAGCTATCTGCGAGGTGCTCATCTAAAGTATCAGACGCTGCTTTTTCAAAGGCGAAATCTGAGCTCCCGTGCAGGGGAGGCGGAGAGGGATGGGGAAGGGGCGGGGAAGGTGAGATGAGAGCAAGGGTGGGGGGCAGCAGAAGGACTCAGGAGGTGTAAGACAACCTTCCAAAAACCCACTCGCCTGGGCGCACGCAGAGCAGCTCTGCCCGTGCCTCCCCTCCCCCAACAGCATCGACTCCAAAGAGGCGCGCTCCCAGCCGCTGGGCTGTGTGCAGGTGAAACCAATTTCGGTAAATTTCCCCACTCGGCTCTGCACAGATAACTCGAGCTCCAAACGTGCCCTTCCCCGGCATCTGGTTCCCATTCCCCCCACCCCCTCCCTCTGCACTCCCCCCTTCCCACTCCTTAAAAATTCAGAAGATCCTTGCCGAAAGAACCCGCCCAGCATAGGCGGGATGGGCTCCCGGACTCCCAGACTGGGCATGCAAACCCCCTCCCCACTCCAGAAGTAGATGCTCGCGGCGCACCCCCACTCCCCCGCCGCGAATCCGTCTCAGTCTACACCTCTGTCTTTCCCGCTCCCCCAAACCAGAAACCAACTCACTCAGTCGAGACTTTGATCTTCAAACTTTGCGTGAGAGCAGAGAAGCCTCAGGACCCGCTGCCCCCGTCCACCCAACCCACGTCCCAGAGCTGCGAACCTTACAAAACCGGATCAGAAGCCGTCTCACGCTACTACTACCTATGCCAAGAATCCCAAACGCCACTGATCCCAAGCCTGTCTCTTTTTTCCAAAAGAAAGTCTTATCTAACCAATAAACATGCGGCGTTCCCTACCTAGCACGGGAAGGATCAAACGAGGAAGGGTAGGCATGGCGAGGGGAACGGGGTGAGATCCAGGGGAGGAGCCGGATCCCGGGCCTGGGGTGGGTGCACGCCGCCCCCGGCGGAGCCTCGGGCCGCCTGGCTGGGCAACTCGGCCCGCGCAGCGGCGGGGCTGCCGGGAGCGCCGCGCTACCCGGCGGAGGGAAGGTGGGGCGGCCCCGTTACCTGGAAGACGAAGGCCGCTGAGGCCGGACTCTCATCTCCTCCGAGCCTCCGGCCCGGTCCCCCGGCCCAAATCCCGCCGAACGCCTCCAGAGCCCCGGCGAGCAGACGGCGGGGCCACAGCCCCGGGACGCGCCAGCAGCACCCCGAGACCCGGCAGGAGTCGGTCCCCTGCGCTGCCGCTCGCAGAGGCGCCCGCAGAAAAAGCACAGAAAGCAGCAGCCCAGTCCAGAAATGGCGACGCGCGGAGTCTCTGCCTCTCCGCAAAAGGGGCCCGGGCGGCCGGGGGCGCGGGGCCCGGGCGGGGAGGAGGGACGCGGGGGACGCGGGCGCCCCGGGCTCGGGCCCGTCCTGCGCACAGACTGAGCCTCTGCCACCGCTCTGGGCCCCTTAGCGCGGACCCGCGGCGAGGAGGGGAGCCGGGGAGGGGGAGAAGTAGGAGGAGAGGATGGGGCGGGGGTGGGGAGG